CCAGTGGATATTGCAATGGGACAGACAGGGAGCACAGAAATCTACTACATATGACTCAGCTGGCAAAAATGTCTTTGTGTGATGGCTCTTCTATTAGTCTAGCAGAATCCATAGACTTCCACGAGGAGTTTTCTGAAGAAGAGCTGTGGGACTGCACTTGAACCGAATATTTCAGAATGGAGTGGCCTCAAAGAACATGCAGGCACACGTGTTCAGAAAAAGTGCATATCATGCTCTGTCTTACAATGGTCATCATCCTCAGGGATTTGTTTAGGCACTCTTCATACAGAGCCAGACTCTGGGTCTCCTGAAGGTCATAGTCAGAGCCTGCAGGCACCCAGCTTGCAGGAACTGTATATCTTGAGCTGAAGGTCAGTTTCCATGTTTTACTGTTAGTTTTTGGTACGTCTCTTGAAAACATGGCTTAGTTATTAAATTCTTATCACAGGCACTTGTTCTTAAACACTAGAGGATGTTTATAGTCTCCATCCACTTGCACTGCCCTTAGGATCCCAGTGTAAAAAGGCTTTGTGAGGACTGTGCATAAGGTTTTTCTTCCATATGAAGAATCTCAGTGATGTGAGTGGGGAGATGTTTATCATTGCCTCACAGAATGCCTCCTGCCAAAGAGAAAATTGTTTGCTGACTTCCAAAGGCAGAGGAACAAACAAAGGGAGTGGGAAATGCTGGTCCTGAGATAGATGTAGTTCTTTGCCATTGTGAAAGCCACGCTCTATTTTTAGGGTCTGAACAGTTATATAGAGGGACATTCTCTTGACCAGCATTTTTAAAATACAACTTTCATTACATGTTAGAGCTTATGTAATCAATATTCATAAAAAAAACTGCCTGCATTCTTCCCCTTCAACCTAACCTGCTGCTGAAGCAGAAATTAGGCTTTGCTCTTGCTGCTGTTTCTAACTTGATGTAATGTTTGTAAACTATATTTACTGGATTTTTTTGAGGTTCAGAAGAGTAATTTTGTGGACTACAGGGAGGGGGAAAAATCTTTCTCTGCCAGGGGTAATTGTCCCTCCAACATGAAATTTTGGCTCATCTCCTGTTTTGAACAGGTGGACAGATTCTTTAAAGCCCAGTAGAGAATTAAAAAAAAGAAAAGAAAAGTGTATATGATTCTTACTTTTTACCTTGAATTCATTACAAGCTTTGAAAAATGTTGGAATGTAGGGCTGGAGTCGCTAAAACACATGGATACGACTTGATATATTACACTTTTCTGCTTTGCAAATACACCTGAAAGGTTACCACCCAGTGAAATATGCAGACTCATTTTATGAAAAAAATTTGAGGCTCATCCATACAGATTTTTCGCCAAATTATGACACGATGTTTGAGCAGGTGCACCTTCCCTGGTGTGTGGATATAGTTTGCTGCAGCCCAGAGATACTGACATTAAAAAGCAGGTGGAATATGCTTATCCTGTTTTAATTGAACTATAATATTCCCTCATCAGAAAACAAAGCAGCCATGGCATCAGAAATCATCATAATTTTCTGATGCCTGGAAAGGCAAGAAAGCCGCCTCTTTCTGTCTTGTCTTCTAGTCAGATATTTGGAACAAAAAGCTTAAATTACACTTCCTTCTCTCCCAGACCTAGTGATTTTTAACACATTTTTTTCATAGTCTGTGAAGGTCTAGCTCTTTTCTGAAAGAAAAGAGTAGCCGTTGTTCCTTGGTAACTATTCATGAATATCTGCAGTGTGTGTTGCTAGACTCAAATTAGCTTGACACAAGATGCTGAGCAAATTCTTGAAATACCACGTGCTCGTTCTCTGAAATACGAATCCACTAGTGGCATTTAATTTTTGTGGGTTTTTTTTGTTTGTTTGGTTTTGGTTTTTTTTAGACGTATCAGGTTTTTTTTTGTTGGTGCTGGTAGGGATTTTTGTTTTCTGTTTTTGTTTTTGCATGGATGATATCTGAAAGAAACCGATTCAGTGGAAGAATGAGACTCAGGAGATATGTCCTCCTCCTCCTGTCCTCCACTCATGTCTCATATAACTTTTGAGTGAGTCAGTTTCCCAATGCAATAGCAAATTACTGGTACTTCAGAATAATTCTTTAATAGCATTAACATTATTTCCTGTCTTCGCCTCTATTGTTCCATTGGGTACAGATTCTGCCTACACAATAACTGGCGGGAGAAACTCTGTTGAAACTCTCTTTATGTGTTTCTAAGTATCCAATTAGTAAAACCTCATTTGCCTACACTATTCTGCCACACGTGGATATGGCACACATTCTGGCAATGAAACACCTTAGAAAGACAGTGATTCTCCAGCTGTCGCACATCATTTGTCTGCCTCTGTTCAACTCAACCACTCTTCCCGTGGCAAGTAGGTAGACAACCCCTCCTGTTTATAATGAATACAGGCTACGTGCACAGAGTGGCTATATTTATAGTTTCCATCCTACGACAAATATAATGAACAACCATTTCTCCATACAGCCATGACTTCCTGCAGTGCTGTGTGCTTTCCACTCCACATGAGGATGGAGAAAACTCTGTTTCTTGGAGTCCTTCAACACCTTTCAGGTTTGGCCTCTTGGCAATTAATGGATAGCTTGAAAGCTTGCTAGAAAATGCAATTCTTTAGCACTGCAGCACTACTCCATTTAGTACTTTGCAAGTGAGTTGTAAAAATTTGCCCTGGAGACAGGGAAATGCAAATATAAATTAAATGGAGAACTAATAACATAACATTATGGAACAATGCAAACCATTTTGGACACCCCACAGAGAAGAAATCCATGCATTCCTTTCTGAATCATCTTTATGGAAATTTCTGTAAACGTGCCATTATTAAAAGAGAGTAGCAATTATTTCCTTCTTTGGTTCATCAGTTGCAGGGAGGGGAGAATCAACAGGGGAATTAATTTTGTTTTCTTCCCTCTTCTCTTTTTTTTTTTTTTTTTTTTTTTTTGTGTGTGTGTGTGTGTGTGTGTGTGGGCTTGTTGGAGAGCTATCAGACAACAGGAACTGACAGCATGGAAGCCTCTGCTGGTAGAACAAAGCAAGAAAGATAGGAGAAGTGGTCAACATCGTTACAGATGGGGCTCCGTAGGTGGAAGTAGTTAGGAGAGCAGCAGAAGCAGGCAAGATTGCAGCTAACAAGGCTGCTGAGAAAGCCAGAGCTATTAAGATATGTTGACATAACATTTGCAAGCTTCACAGGGGCCATCATTATAAATTAGATTTAGTATTGATCAGACAGTTCAGTACTGGGGCTGGAAGAAAACTGGACACTGAGTTCTTTATAAAATCAGCACTTAAGATTCTGCCTTCTGATTAACCCAGAAGAACAGAAAACGTTGTCTCCTAACTGACCTCAAACAGCGTGACTGCTGTCCCCTTCCTGGGAGCAGTTAGAAAGCTGCAGTCATTTGGAGTTGGCATAATCTTTCAAAATTGCCATTACAGTCATAACAAAGACATGAAAAACGTGCCTGTAAGATACAAGTTAAATCCAACACATGGCTGTGAATGCTAGGAAACTCCTTGCTAATGAGGCCTACTGGAGATTTTGCAGTGTATAATTCAGGATGAAAACTGGCTGGCGGTATATTACAAGGTGTACCAGGGAAGGGATCTGGTGATTTAACACACAGGGAGAAAGCAGCTTGTGAGGCTCGTTAGATCAATGGGGATTCCAGTTCTATACCTCAAATTATATACCCTATCTTCTAACATTCACCCTTTGCTGTGCAAAGCCCATACCTTCCTATTTTTCTCCTTTTTTTTTTTTTTTCCTCTTCTTTTGTTGCAGCTGTGTTTTTTCAGGTCTTTCTAGAAAGCACCACCAGAGCAGAAAATACCTGAGGTTTATAAGGTAGCCACAGGTAATTCACTGCTGCTGAAATTGTCTAAAATGCACGTTTTGCCACACTCTGTATTGCTTGGCAGTGTGTATATCCCCAAGGAAATTGCTGCTGACAGCTCAACAAGTTGCTCCACACCAGCCTGCCACCTGTGTGCCATATCATGGACTGGGGTTCTCTCACCATGCCAAACCCCAAAGGAAATACAGCATGGGGAGATGATGTTTCTCCACCTCGTTCTGCTTCCATCACTGAGTGGCCATATATCTTTCCTGTGATGCTAGAGAGTAGTTGAGACATTTCTTTCTGCCTGACTGACTTGAGTTCAAGCCTCAAATCTTGAAGGTATGGTGGCACTCCCTTAGCCTGCTCTTTCACTCTGCAAGAACTTAGCACCACTGAGCCCCCAAAAAAGAAACTGGCCCTAGGGCCGGGCTGTGCACACCACCACCTGCACATCTCCCAGAACTTCCCCACTCCCACAGCAGGGAAAGCTCAAACCTTTAACAGAGCCATTTTGACACACTTGGTGACTCCGAGCATAACAGAAAACAGACACTGACATCCATGGCCCCTCAGGAAACATGGAGCCTGGCCTTAACTTGCTCCTTTCCATGCACCTTTCTGCTTGACTGCTTCCACACAAACATCCTGTGTCTTAAATGCATCACCTCCATTGGCAGCCAAGAGTCGAGTTTACTCTTAGTCAACTCTGAACTGCCACATCCCTGGAAGCAGCTGCTGATACAATAAAGAGACCCGACACCATGCCAGCACTTAGCAATTAACAGCTAATGAAATACAGCCTCCCTTGTCCTCCTCTTTCAGGAGATAAGCTTCACAGACAGCAGCACCCCACCAGGCTTAGCCCAGGGTGCTGAGCCGCACCAGGACCGCAGCCGTTTCTCTGCACCTCCAAACCCTGCCTGCAACAGAAAGTGCCCTCCCAGAGTCGCAGCCACCTCAGCTCTCTGGCAGGACAGGTAATGCCGTTTAGAAGACAAGAGGAGGAAACCAGAGCTGCTCAAGCACCTGGTTGCAAGAGGGCTGGGAGGAACCGGCTCTGAAGATGAACTAACCATTCAAGCCTTTCTGTCTCGTCTCTTTCCTTGCGGTGCTCCGGGAAGGAACAGAGGCTGTCTGTAAATTGCAGTTTAAAACCATAATATCCCTGCATTGAACTGTCGTCAGATGGTTGCAGGTAAAATAACGAGACAAAAATGAAGGCTGAGGAAGGATTTTTATTGCTTTTAAAAGGTCTCTCTTGCAAGATGCTTGCCTTTTATTTCAAAGGCAGTGTCAGAGAGTATTAAGAAGGCACGGGTAGATGCAGCCCCTGCATCTGAAGTGGGGAAAAACAATACTTTAATCACCACTCCTATTTATAAAGCAATGTTTCTTACAGTTTGTTTCGGGGTGTTTTATTCAGTATATCCTTCGTAACCGTTTCGCTTCTGACTTTCTCAGAGCTTATGGTAAATGTCAAAATGTCTCTTTGGGCTCATAAAATGATGCCATAACATAGCATCATTTTAACTTAGAATGGGTAAAATAACCTATAAAATAAAATGGGAGATTTTGACATTAATTGAAAAAGTTACTTGCTTTTCTAGTTTCAGCAGCTTCATGTCAGCATTAAAAGAATAAATCAGGTTACAGTTTATTGCAACATGTGATGACCTTTAAGTAATTTTATTGCCCATTCTGTTCCATTGCAGTTTTCTAATCTGTATTTTGTCTGAAGGAAATGAGAAGCAGAATTTATCCTTCCTCCCCTGTTAATTTTAATCCTTTTGCATGGAGCTGGATTCATGCTGCAGGCAGGTGAGTCAGTTTATTTTAGTTATTTGAGTCTTGTAATGTCTTCCAGTCGACTTAAAAAAAAAAAAAAAACTACTAATTTTTGAGAATTTTAGAGCTGTTTTATTGCCAACTAAGTGTGAATTAAAACTAAATGTGGCTGCTATAGCATTCAGACCTGTTCCTCTAACTTTGAACACTGGTAAATGGCTCTCTTAGAATCTGTGCAGTTTTCTAGCAGAAGACTTTCTTGTACTACCTGCCATTTATACAATGGATGTGCCTTCAAGGTAAATCTATACTGGCAGTTTTGACACATGTTTACAAAAAGCCCAACCCTGCACAAACGCACACAGAAACACACACTAGGAGGGTGTTTTAATAAGGCTACAAAATTGTTTTAGAAAGTCTGTGCAGAATGACACCCTGCAAGTTTTCCTAAGTGGGTTTCTCAAACTATTTTTTTCTTTTGAGGGAGAGAAAAATACATTAACCAAATGCTTCTAGCTGAAATTAAAATGTCCATGATACATTGCTTGAGGATAATAAATTTACACCTTCTGTTATTTCTATGATGCAGTTATAACTGTCTTAAAATATAACAGAAGATACATTATTCAAATTAAAGAGGTCTGAATTGAACATTTTGGATAGTTTAATAAAAAGGAAAAGAAAACAATGATGAAGAATAGAGAAGCAAAGAAGCCAGCAGCCAAAAAGCAGCAAGGGACTGGTGCTGTTGCCTTCTCAATATAGGCTGGGAACAGCTCCTAAGCTAGTGAAAATCTCAGCTGACTGCTTCGATCAGTTTTCTTCCCGGCATATATTTCATCACTTCTCTTCATGTGTTAGGTCTATTGTTATGAGCACTGTAATTTCCATTGTCATATGTCTAAGAGAAAATATTTCTAAAGCTTAGTAGGAGAAAACGTAACAGTTTAGATTCTTCCGTATTCTGTAATCTGATGAAGCATTTCATTCCTTTTATTATAATGATAAAAACTATAGTTCTGTTATTGCGTCCAGAGAATTCTGTCGGAAATTATAAGTTTTCTCAGACAAAGTTGTGTTTGACTATTTCTCTGATGAGGTTAAAGGTCAATTTGCTTATAGTTTCCATGCTTCATTAAAATTCAGCTTCTGTGCTGTGTAATGTGGGTAATATTAATTTTCTAAACATTGATGTACAGCAGCTGCAAACTAATTTCCATAATGGTTGTTCTATTCTAAGGGCATTAAACCTGAAACAAGGTGGATCCAAATGGAAAAAAATGTAGATGATTACTGGCCATCTGCCAAAAAGACGCTTGGGGACGTGAAAATTCTGGAATCACTGAAGGTTCATTTTGATCAAATATTCATATTCTGAGCCATGTGTCAACAATTTTACTGTTTAAAGACAAGAAGGTTGTGGAGGGGAATACTGACACCATCCTTCACAGGGGAGTTTACTTTCAGACTTCTTACATGAAGGAGAATATGTTGTTAAAGAATGGAGCAAACATTTAAGATGTGTTCAAATGAAGGTGCAAAAGCACTGGAAACAGGAGTTGCTTCCCTTAGGGAAAGGGGGCGGGTGGGAAACAGAGAGGTCATAGTAACACACTCAGCTTTTAAGTTAAGATTAACCATATGTATGAACATTTGGGAAATGCTTCATGTATTTTTATTTCCACAGATTCATTGTACTGATACCATTAGACAGAACTATCTTTTTTAACTGAAAAAGCTGCAGTCCTCCAGGCTCACATGTAGAGGTGGAGTCCTAGATTTGGAGGCCTCAATATATAGACTAGCCAACACCTTCTCATTGCATTCATTCTGTGATACTTTATTTCTCTGCTACTGAAAGGCAACTCTTTCTTGGAAAAATTGCCTTCTCCATCACATTTGGTCCACTTATTGCAGAATAGCTTAATAAGATCTTTCTGTGATCAGCAACGAGATTTTTCCAGCAGAATATTTTTCTATTCCTGAGCATTTCACAAACCGCCTCTGATTTTCTCAGGCAGATTTGATAAGCTATGTTATGCAAATATACATCAACTCATGGGCTGTGCACAGAGTCCTTGTGTGATTTGTCTTCATTACTGCTCCAGTTTGGTTGCACATCTTGGTCACAGGAACCACGCATGACAGACTGTTTCTTCCTAGTAAGCTGAGCCTAAATGAGATAAACCAGGGAAGTTCTGTAAACCAATTAAATGGTTTTGAGGGCTGTTCCACCAAGGGAAGATTGATTTGTGCTCCACCTATTTTATCCTCGCTTCCTTATCACTTGCATTTCCTCAACAAACATGCCATGAATATAAAAATGTGAAACAATTAAAATTAGCCATAAGTGAAAGAATTCCTACTGCAGGGAGACACATTTGTACTTAGCAAACTGGTGTCCAAATGCTTTTTACTTTGTTAGGGGCAGTGAGAGGGGAATGAAGACAAGGTCAGACATTTGAGGCCATCCCTGTGAGGGAGTAATGGCATTCTTGGGACTTACTCACTTGGATTTGGCAGAGAGACAGCCTACCATCCACATCAGACCATGGGTAGAAATGAAGTTTTGTGCCTACTCTTGTCTGTGCAGACAGGTGCAGAATTGACAGGGGTTTACACGTCAGAAATGTCAAAGACAGCTTGGCTGTGGTCTGTTTTTTAACTTTTTTAACTTTTTCCCTGCTGTCCAGGTTCAACCTTGCTTCCCCCCCTAATCCCCATCCAGGAATGATTAGATCAGCCATTGATAGGTTAAGACTTTATGAGGAGTTTCTCCATTTCACCAGTGCCCATGTTTTTCCCAGCCTAGACAGTGCTGTGTGTCCACATTCCACATTCACTCCCGTTGATGGTGTGTCAAGCAGTGACAATCTGGCGCTTGGTTTCTGATGCAACTCATACCAAAGAAATCTGCGTATGACACATACACTAAAAAGGTATTTTTGGTTCTTTGTGCTCTGGTTTTACAACATAAAAATGGCCAAGCCATCTCCAGTGGTGCATCTAGAACAGCTCCATATGGTCAAACACAAGAATAAAAGCAAACTAAGAACTGAGTGTTATTTCATTTTCCAGTAGTCCCAGAGACTTAGCTTACTGGTTTTCTAAGACAAAGACTAATTTTGCACCTTTGCATTTAATAGTCTTTGATTAATGTTTCTTTTGCTTACATATCTAACTGCCTCTTCAACTGATTTATACCTGGACACCAGTGAAATAAAGTGGGAGATGCAGGCTGTCTTTACCAGTGAGAATCCTCACCCTTTTATCTTTTTACACTTAATGATATTAGACACAAGACTAACACTTTTTTTAAAATGGTTTCAGAACAGGTTATTTCTGAAATGAGAAGAAATATAACAAATTCCAATCAAAATGTGATAATTTTAGGAAAGGTAGCTGTTGCTGTAAATAATGCTCGGAATGAGAGGGAAAAAATAAAAATAAAAAGAAGACTTTTGAGCTCCAAATATAGCACTATAACAAGGGATTGTGTAGAAAATTAATAACAGCATTTTAGCTAGCTGAACTGACCAGAGTGGCTATCTGATTTTAACCCTGCTAAGAGCAAAACATAAGTAATTAAAGCTGTTGGGTATGACGACTGCAAGGGGCAGGCAGAGCTTGGCAACACTGCTCCCACCCTGCAAGGCCACATCCCCATCTCTCTGCCCAGGCACAAAAGACTTGGGGAACACTCTGTACCGGCCACATGCCTGCCCACCCAGCACTGAGATGCCTTCACCCCCTGGGGTACCAGCAGGCACAGAGATGGGACCCTCTCTTGCCAAGAGGCCACTGTTTGTCAGCTCCCTCCCTATTAGAAGCAGCTGGCAGGGCTGCCTGCATCTCCCCTTTTGCCAAAACCACCAGATCACTAGTTAACCCACTGGGGCTGGATGGTTCATAGCAGGTTCCCCTTCAGTGATGGCAGGTCCCAAAATAATAAGCACCTTTTTAGGTGGGAATTTTCAAGTTTTCAGTGTCCATTATAGGAAAATAAAGACAAGCCATGCGGACATTATTTCCCCAGAGAATTAACAAACTGGGAATGCCAGCATCTGGTGTGAAAGCTGTGCTCATGATCTATTCAGAATAAAGGCATTATGAAAGGAGAGGGAGAACATGGTTTTGTGTTTGCCATTAGAAGTGTTGTTATGGTGCTCTGTGTTCTGTTACACATTTTATTAGGATAATAATTTCAGTAAACTACATCTGGCTTTCCTGAAGGCTGTCCCCTCAGGTTAAGCAGGCTGTCTAAAAATATCTCCGTTTTTTCTTAAATGTTCCTCCTTTTTATCTTCCTTTTGATGGCTTTTCATTTGAATTATTTCTATCTTTTTTTTTTTTTTTTAAGATTACATTAGCACTTTTTTTTTTTCCATAATTCTATAATCTTTTCAACTCTAGGCTCCTTTGTACTTTGTGCTTTTGTACCCTTTTCTTCTCAAGTCCTTTTCATGTTTCCTCCCTTTTGTTTTTCCCTGGGAGCCTTTATTGTCATTTTATCCTTTATTTTTAGTCTTGAGCTGTACAGTAGGAACTAATGCTAAGAAAATTGAAAAGGAAAAAGCTGCATAAGCCAATGTAGTAAAGAACAGTCATATACTGAGCCATAGGAGAACTTACAAATGAAGGCACAGTGGTGAAGCCCATATACTTTTGGTCTCTGTGGTGCAATACCCATGAAAAATAAAACAGTGACATTTCCCTTAAAAACAAAAAAGTCAAGCCAATAAACAAGTGAAAAAAACCCACACCTGTGTGCATCTACGACTGCTCTAAAAATGGCCTGGAAATGGACCTCTTTGCAATTGGAATATGAGCTAAATCCCCCACACATTGAGATAAATCTATTTTTAAGGCACAGATGTGAGAGAATTTGCCTGGAGACTACTACCAAGTGAGTAGAATCTGACAGTGATGGATTTTGGCTTGTGTTGGAAGCCGACTTACTGTTTTATGAGTTAACAACTTATTGTTTAAATGCTTTAATGCTGATTTATGCCAATATTTCTTGCTTTGTATACAGAGGTATAAAACCAGCTAACTTTTATATAAATAACATTCCTGATAAATTCTCTTTTCAACTGAGGAAACAAACATGGCCAATTAATATTGGGAATCTGACAGATTGTTGCCACTGTTACGCTGAACTATCTTTGCGTGTATCGAATCCCTTCCTCTTGTTTTATTTTTCTGTGCTGCAAGTACAACTGAACAAAAATACAACTTAAAAAGCAGCGGCCCTGAGCAGCAGCAGCAGACCCTTTTTTCTCTTTTTAACTCATCTGTAATTTATTTTGTGCCCCTCCTTATGTGTTGCTCTGCTGACAGTGTCCCCTCATGACAAGAGTCCCCGCTCAACAAGCCCAGAGCCAGAGGTAGGTCCCAGAGGACCAAGAGCAAGGTGTGCTGCATCACTGATCCCCTGGGTCACCACCCATGGGCTCCCCAGGGAACAGCAATAACCATGGAGAGAAGCAGGAGGACAGCTTTTTGATCCTGCTAGTCTCCTGAGGGAACCACTCCAATAGCTCAAAGAGGCCAGAATGAAGAAAAGAGTTCTTGATCTTCATCTCTTATGTGCTCTGCTCACACACTGTCTATTTTCACATTGCTCCAGCTGGTTTATCCTCTGATAACTGTCTTTAAATTTTATTTACCTCTGTGTTGCATACATTATCATTTTATTCATCTAAGAAGCTATCTCTGAATTTCCATTCTTTCTGTAGCTGCTCCTCCATCCCAGCTGTTCTGCTTTTTTATCCCCAGAGTCTATCTCTGCTGAAGGCCTTTGTACTAGAGCTTATTTTTAAGAGTTTGATAGTATCATGTATTGTTACAATATGTAAGAAAACTGTCTCACTGTTTCAAGACGTATTCAATGTGCAAAACTACTAGCTGAAACTATGAACTGGAAGGAAAGAATAACATTGGTTTGTGGAGCTATGTCAAGTCAAGAGTTCTCTCATCACTGTTTTAACCATAAAGATCATGCAGGTATAACCATATATTCAAAACAATAGCCAAGGGAACTGGACTGGAATTCAGCTTCCATGGTCCAGAAAAAGTCACTCACCAACCCCAGTATCTGCATCTGAACTCAGCAGGGCAATGTCAAGGTAGAACCAACAATCTGAACTGGAGATCAGGCTCATGCTTATTATAACTACTCTATCACTCATCCCTTCCCACACCAGGCCGATGTGGGGGGGCAGGAGATGCAAAATGCCTCTTTAATGTCTGAATGTCTGCTGCTGTGGATATGTGGGGCTGACGTGATGTTAGCCAGCTGCATGGCAATTGTTCTAAAAACACACAAAAATTGTAAATAACCATTTAAGTTAAATTCTTCAGTCAGGAGCCTTGGCAGAATGATGCTGCCATAAATTTTTATAGAGACATAACCAGGGATGATGAGGTTTTGGGTTGTGATGTTTATTAAAATGTTTATTGGAATCTTGTGGTATTGTAATAAATGATGTCATAAAATAAATTGGGCTATTTCTAATCAGCAAAACAGCACAAAACTTGGATATCTGAGA